AAGAGAGAATATTTTATAACTAAGAATCTCCATGCAGAACCATCTTTAATAATATATCTTATTATTTTTATTTATTTGCTCAAGAAATTCCGTAGAGAATTTTACAGTAAAGTGTTTTTGAAAAGTAATAAGTTTGCGCCATCTACTGGCTGAATTCTGAATTACACTTGTAATTTGAATTTTGCCTCACATTGGCAATTTTTTTTATTTTTTATAGCAGTGTATTTATATGCTTTTCCACCCTATTTATGGGATATTCCACATATTGTGAAGGTAGTAATGCCATATAGATATATTCCTATTCCTGATTATAAGAAAAATAAGTTAAATTCCTGTGTCCCGTCTGGCCCCCACCAACATGGAATGTAACCAACCACAACTGCAACAGCCTCTGCTTAATTTGCAACAATTAAAATGTGCTGCTTAGTAACATACACAATGAAAATATTTTGGATTAATATCTTAAAATGGGGAGGAAGGGGGGGGGGGTAGGGGGGAGTTACAATCCTGACATATTTTGGATTAATTTGGACAGAGAATATCTGATACTAGGCTTAATGGCTGGTAAAAGGAAGGTGGGAGGGCTCTAGTTTGACTATGGGCTTTTTATTCTGCCAATTGGAATGAGCAGCACTCCTAATCTTTCATTTCTGACATGTCAGTACTTTGCCAGAGGGTAAATGTTGGGGGGGGGGGAGGGGAGTTCTGCCAGATTTAATAAGAAGCTGAATGACAGAAACATCTTCAGATACTGAGCGGCTCACCAGATTTTCCTAAACTAAACTGTAAAGCAGGGCACAGTAGGGACTTATCATTTTGGAGATACCCACATAGACTCCACAGAGGTGTCAGTCAGTGTCTCATGAGATACAGTGATAATTCCATTGTCTGACTATGATTGTAGTTTGTACATTTCCCAACCTGGTATAAACAATCCATTTTTAATGTCATTTTTTCCCATCACTAAACCCTAACCTGTATCAAACCATATCTCCAGTCCAGACTATAATTAACCCCTTAAGGACACATGACATGTGTGACATGTCATGATTCCCTTTTATTCCAGAAGTTTGGTCCTTAAGGGGTTAAAGAGATCTTTACTCTTTAGCAGCAGTGTATTTAAATGGTATAGAAATGATTACACAGAAAATAATCAGAAATCTAGAATCTACCAATCAGCATAGAACCCAGTCTATATTAGACTCTGTCTATATTCCCCCTCTTTACTTCCTGCAATTATTCAAAACAGATATTATTTCTTGTGAATTTTTAAGACAAATGTCCAATGATCTAGAAAAAACCAAACAGACTTTGCATTTTGTTTCCATGATAAACTTTTTCTTAAAGGCATAACTTACCGTAACAAAACACAATAAAGTTGTTATGGTGCAGGGAGGTCACAGTGTTGGCTCTGCCTCTGCACTTGTGCTCAATGTCTGAAGGTGTCAATCAGGAATCCTGAGACTGGGCGCTACTGATAGGCTGATTGTGTCAGCTTTCAATCTCAGCGATCAGTAACAACATAGAGAATAGAGAGTGAACATGGGTTATAGTTCCGGCCGGGCTAAGGTCAATTCTGTGCAAATTAGGTGTCTGATGCCAGCAGGACAACCAATACCAGAATGACCCCTGCCTGCTGCCCATCTCTCCCCTCAGCCATCCTGACAACCAGCTCCCCCTGCAGGAAGGAAGAGTAACGTCAATGGAGGAGGGTCTAAGTAACAGGAGAACTTGGCCATAGCAATCTAAAAGAAACTGAGTTTTACCTTTTTATTATGTTTTTTTAGAGGGGGTGGAGCAGGTAGGAAAGATTTCTATAACCACAAACAGTGTTTTCTTATAACACTTTTTTTGGTTGGAGTAACCCTTTAAGTAAATATTATAGTTAAGGATTAGTGCTGGAGAGCATTGGCACTCTCTTATGGTAAACCATTTAAATAGTGATAAAGTGTAAAAGTGAATAAATGGGGCTGAACATGTATAAAACAAATGCCTTAAAAATGTACCCAATTATATATGTGATCATACCCCACCCACCTATATATTAAAAACCCTCACAGATTATTATATAGATATTCACAGCAATATGCATTAACAGGGGAAGAAGAACTAAAGATATATTGTAAATCCGCATACAAAGGGTATATCGGGGAGGGTGTAATACAAACAAGGAGCAGGTAAGTGCTGCTCAGGATATAGAGGTAGGTTCCACTGAATACTCACTGAGTACATGAGAATGGTTCGAGAACTTACCGGGGCCCACAGGGTTCTGGTTCCTATCTCCCCTGCTGTGTTAAGCTGTGTAGGGGAGGCTCATTGACCATTAGTGTCAGCTGAATGCTTTTATCCAATCAGCGGCTCCCTGCACTGCCAGACTTGGTCAGTTGGTGCGAGAAGTTTTGACGATCTAGGCAAAAAAAATCTTAGCTGTCCCACACGCTCTGACCCTAGTGTGGCATCACATGAGCCACTAGAAATTATATTGTCACGATATTAGGCAGGTGGTTTTAATGTTGTTGCTGATCAGTGTATATGTTCGTTATAATGCTTTTAACATGTTGTGCCTTTAAAAATGTCTTCTTTATTAGATGAAATTTATAATTCCAAAGTGAGCATTAGCAGAAGGGGACAGAGTTACACACGGGTAGACTGAGCTGAGAGGCCCTGCACCCACCACCAGGCAGAGCAAGCTGCCTCCTATCAGTCTTCCATAAGGCGAGTTAGGCTGCTGTGAGGCCTCAGACAACTGTCCAACTAATCTAATTAGAAAGCCATCTCTGGGCCTCAATCTAATGTGTCTTAGTCAGTATGAGAAGTCATTCCAATCTGTTGGGAAAAATACTTTCACATGATTTATGTACATATATCACCATTAAAGTCAATGTAAAGTTTTCTAGAAAATTTTCTTAAATGCTTTTTTTTTCCTAACAACTTGGAATCATTTGTGATGCTGAGGGAGAGCCCTAAGCAAAAAGTTAATGGTGGACCCGATGCTCACTGTGTCTAAAGAGGTATCAGCTACACCTTTCTGACAAACACGGCTGAAACGATTGTCTGGTGTTGCTGTTTCTCTCGTGCAGAGTGAACTCACCGGCATTTCGGTTCTGGGTTGCCCTTATAGGTGGGATCCGTCTGATATGCAAATAGTATAGATTCTCTTCGTAATTAATGGCACCAGTGAGCAAAAACATTTTTGAGACCTGAGCGGGGACTAATCGAAGGGCAAGATTAGTTTTTCTAAGCTTTTGTCTGTTCTCTGAGTTCTCATAGTCTCCATTTCTGATGCTGATTCAAATAAA